ACACACATACATACAGCAACTAGGTTACTCTGGGCACAAAAATCGAAGAATGAAGAGACAGAAGCTATTGAATATTGCAGAACTAGATACACTTTCAGAGGCAGTATCGGATCAACTGAGACATTTTGTAAAGGAAAGATGGATGCTGATGAACAATTAGGTCCAGAAAGAGACAGGAACATAGGGGAAGAAATGATCGTGGCAAACCACTACTTACAAGAACCGATCAATGATATTAGATTACCTAGATGATGGCGAAATCTCTGATCTATATATATATAGTACGGATGTTTTGTTTTTGTTGTCTTTTGTTTTTGTTGTGTCTTATTCTGTTGTTTTGTATGTTTGTATGTGTGAATAATCAAACAGATTTTTAAAAAAGCTTTATATGCCTCACTTACATAAGCTGTTACCATGATTAAAATACAGTTTATAGCATTGAAAATACCTACTTATAAATAACCCCATTGACTTTAGTAGTGGTTGCTAATGAATAATTAGTTCCACAACTGCGACTATAATTAGGTAAATTATCTACATACATAGCGATTAGTAGTGCTTACTGCCCTATGCAATTAGCCAACACATGGTGAATGCTTGCTCTTCTGATCTTTTTTGTTTTGAGACTGTTAATCCTTATTGATTATCCCTGATTAACAACTTCCCTGGGTCTTGTTACTTACAAACCCGAAGAACCTAGAACTGTGTGTGCTCAATGACACTTTTGGTACTAACAGCTGGCACCAGGGGTGGTGCAAGCAATTACTGCAATGCACTGAATATTGTCAAAGTTCACATGTTGAATTCTAAAAAAGATTTATTCACTTACTGTCACTGTACCTTGCTCTCCTTTAGCACTTAAATGAGAGCAGTAACAAAGCCATCCTGAATCAGTGCATGACTAAGAACTCTGTGGCCATTTGTCAGGTGTGATGGGGTCAGCAACAATTTTTAAAATATCTCTCATGGGATCATATGACACATTGTAAGAATGTTAACCTTCATTTTAAGAAACTGAAGTTGCTTCCACATTATGTACATGGAGTTGCACAACAGGATTTCGGCCAACAGTTGTCAACAAAGGGGCACTTCATAATTAATCTCCCAGTTATGCTGTGCAGGGACCAATAAAATGGCCTCAATCTGCAGGCAAGAAGGATTATATTACAACAACAATAGTTCCTTTAAATATTTCAGCAGTGCTTTGCCTGTCCACATCAACAGAGTGGAATTGTAATTGAGTTTCATTGTGAAAGATAACATGCAGAAAGAAGTAGGAAGACAGCATGGAAAAATTGTATGTACAATAGTTTGGAAAGAATGTCATTTAGACCCTTAGAGTGTCAACAGACAAATCAGCAATCTAAGTTTCTTTCTAGAAATGAGGGCATAACAAAACGTGCTAGCACAAGGTAGCTGAGCAAAAGATCCTTCTAGTTTGTGATCATGTCACTTGTGCTAGTGTCACCACTGTGAAAATAATGAATAGGCTTTTCCTTAAGGAGATCACCACTTGTGCAATGCCAATGTTTGCGCAGTGGCATGATCTCCATCACTACAGTGGCAGGATCTTCTGCTCAGAAGAAGCTCGGTATGAGTGTGATTACACAGAGAGGGAAATGTGAATTCACTTACATTCATTCACTGTGAAGTCACATTGAAAAAAATCAGGTTTTCCTGGGGTCTCTCTGCATCAATTGACCATATATAGAGAAAGAGGAAACCCTTGTTTATACCATGTTTGCAACACCCATGGGTGATGCTGTTAAAAGCGAACTGCTAAAAAATTCTTATCGAGGCTTCCTAATCTTACTAGCTTTCTCCTAAACTATTTAAAAAACAAAGAGGCTTTGCCCTTACATGCTTTTTAAAAGAAAAAAAATCTTCTGTGTGCTGCCTTCCTCCTCTCTGCTCAGGGAGAGAGGAGAGCTATTTTAAAAAGACTTGAGGGGGAAGGTGTGTGTGTGCGCGCGCACATGTGTGCATGCATTTACATCCAGGTCATCTTCCATCAAAAGGTAAGAGTGTAAGAGGAGGTGTGTGTGTGTGTGTGTGTGTGTGTGTGTGTGTGTGTGTGTGTGTGTGTGTGTGCATACAGCTGATGTTCCCTCATGAAACAATAGTCAAAGGAGAAGATGTGTGCATGTCTGGCTCATCTTTTCTGCACCAGTTCAGGTGATCACACATCTGAACCAATGTGAATGGATCC